CTCACCCAGCATAAGATGTGCCCTATGTGCACATATACAGTCCTCATCATTACGGTACTGTCGGGGCGGCACAGCCGCGCTGCACTGTGACGCGACAGCGGCTGCGGCTCGGTGACGGTGAATCAGCTGATTTCGATGGAATTCGGCTGCAAATTCCACTTTTCAGCTCTTCAGCTTCGGGTAAAGTGGAAGTGGAGTAATTCTGACCAAAATCGATCGTACTGACTCTGATTTCCTTTATTTTCTATGTCGATTATTATGCTCTTTTCCTTTATTTTGCCTTATTTCAGGCATTTATTCAAATGGCTTACATTCTTTCAGATTCATTCAGAGTCAGTACAATTTAAAAATTGGTCAGAATAACTCACCTTCCACTTTAGAAGCTGAAGAGCTGAAAAAATAGAATTTGCAGCCGAATCCATCGGAAGCCGCAGCCCGCTGCCGTGTCACAGTGCAGCGCGGGCTGTGCGCCCGACAGCCGTACGTAATTGAACGCCAGGACTGTAATGTCTTGTTCGCTGCGGATGATGGAGAGTGTCATTAATGGTTGGGTTTGGCGCGCCGCTAAACCCGTTTTCCACCAGTTTGTGAAGGGGCTAGCGATAACAATTTCTGGAAAACGAGTGATACGAACGATATGATACAGTCTTGTCACTCGCCGAAAAAAAAAGAAAAATGGGGTGGCACCACGCGAAATCCAGCCTCCCTGACACGGCCCACCATCGACACAGCGAACAACAATGTACCTCATGAAAACTGCGCAAATTCAAATTTATAAAGTACGAACTCGATCACAGTGGAACTTGGAGCGTACCTTCTGATGAGCGCTGCAAGAGTGTTCGGTTCCTTCCTTGCACTACCAAAGCCATTCGGACGGCGGCTTACGGAGCCGGTTGTTGAGCAACACATATGGAATCCAGGAACGGAGCTACAAAGCGACAAATAGACATTTCTCTCCATCCTGGGATGTACGATTAAGGCTGGAATCCGCTCTAGAGGACCTGCGCGGTCGCGTTGCGGTTACAGTAGCTAAATATGACTGGTGTGACTACTATTAGATATTTCATGCATAAACTTCGCAGCTAAGTGAGAGGAACGAGTGAGACGGCGAGCATTCAAGAATATAAAGGTAACAGTGAAGGAGATGAACAAGATGTGAGGTTAAACCTAGAACAGAACAAAACAAACCTTGACTCGACACAAGAATTTCCACTTGGGCATTCATCTGCATCTACATTGCAAGCTACAACAGAGGTAGAACCTGAACAGGTTGAATATTGACACAAACAAATAAAAAAGATAAATGGTGACAAAAAGGATGGATTCGTAGATGAAAGCGCCGCGTTCATGTCCCTGTCACTGACTAGGGCTGCAGCTTGGTCATGTGACAACTAACACTTTTG